AAACAGTTCTCTTATCCCTGGTATCTGGAATCCATGCATAGTAATTCATTTCTTGAGGCTAAATCATGCCCTCATAATGCAAGTGCTCTTTGAGCCTGACTTCACTAATTCCTCACCATGAATGAATCTCACTTTTCCACTGTCTAGAAGGGTCAAGGGCTGGGGCAGCAGAACAGAGGAGGCGGTGTAGGGCCAGGGAAAGCGACCGTAGATACCTGGACCAGTTGTGCCGTTCTAACCGTTCTGTCCAGGACTGGCCCTGCACCCAGTGTCCGTCCTTTCTAGCACATCGTCACACTTTCTGAGCCCATTATTTAGCTCATTCCAGTGTTGGGCGGCCCCATGTTTCTCCAGTCTTATCAGACCAGGTTGGTACTGGATGGCTCAGAACAGCTCTGACAACAGGGTTCCCCCAAGATGGAGAAAGAGAAGGTTCAAGCCACTTGTTATGGACTCATAAGTGCACATCCATATTGGTACTTAGCAACCACGAATGTGTGGGAAGAGAAATAGATGGTTGCAGAAGGAGAAAGGAGAGCAATCAATAAAATCCAAATGAGCTGGTTAATGTGTCCATCAAGTTTACATCTTGAGCAAAGCAGCAGACAGAAGCTAGTTACCAGTTTTGTTTCAGTGCCTCTCAGTTGGAAGCCTAATAGAAAATGAGAAAAACCAATTGCCTGAATGGAGGCTCAAACAGTTTTTTGTTTTTTGAATTGATTCCTGCTAATGTGACTGATTTTAAACTGTCCTTAGGTAAAGAAAATTGTTGTAGTTCAGAATTAAACATGAGCTTCAGTATCCCTTAAGAGCCACTTTAAAGAGGAATGTCTTTAAGATTTGAAAGAATTCAATCTGTGCTACTTCTGAAAGATTTATTGTTAGGTCCTGTGCAGATATGGCGTAGGAAGAAATAGAATGCTTGTGAAGCACCTAAGAGTATGACTTCAAAAACAGTGCAGGTTACTTCAGGGCCTTCGGAGATTAGTCATTTCACTAAAATAAACATGGCAGCCTTCTCACAACCTAATGCATGTATCCATATTTGGCAATAGACCTCTTGCAAACCAGCCAGCCTACCCTGCAAAGAGCTAACATGGGCTGCCTTCATGCTGAAGGGTGAGTGCCAAAGATTAACACGTGTAGTAATATACTTTGAAGGAAGATTGTTAACGATCTGCCTACCTTTGACATATAGGATGCAAAATAAGACAGCACATGTAGGCTTTTTTCTTTTATGTCTCTTAGGGGAAAGCCCCACTTGGGTAAGGTTTGGAAGATGTTTTTGATCAACTGATTAGTTCTTTCTGTTAGGGCAAATTTCTAGACTGTTTAAGAAGAGGCATGAGACTCTACAGTTAATCTTATTCCCATGTATGAATTAAGACACTTAGGCTTGATGGATTTTCTTAGATTTTCAGAAAATTCCACTGTGTTAGTTCCCTGTGCCACTCAAAGTTATATACAGGTTGATGGGCTGAGGAAAGTTGAGTTTGTAATGACTGGGCAATAAATTAAGGTCTTTGATGTTTATTATCTGGTATGTATTATAGGTACATGTATAAGCATGACTGTGGGGGTAAGAATGTACCAGAAGAGAGAGAGAGAGGAAAAAGGGCATGCATGCAAACAAACAGACAAAATAAAAATGGCTGCTGGAAAGAAGTGAAAAGTGAGGAAAGGTGATGATCCCTTAGTCCCTGTTCTAAAAGCTACTGGGTCAGTTGGGCCAAATTCTCAAAGCCTTGCTCAGTGCTGATGCCATCGACTTCAAGGAATCTGCCCATTTGGCAAGGAATCTGCCCATCATGTACACATGATGAATGATGAGTGGAAGAAAGAAGAGTAGAAAGTGTAGCTCCTGGTCCTAACAAGAACTCCTTGGCTGGAGGAGAGTGGGAAGGTTTCATGGTTTCCGTGGAATCCAGTCATCTTGATATATAGTGGGGAGAGAAGGGGATAGCAAAGCTGTCTTTGAAGGTGAAATAGTAATAACACAGCTACAGAAATCAGACTCTTTGGGAAAGCTAAGGGTAGGTCCAGCTAGCTGTTCTTAGAGATAAAGTTTCTGAAGAAAGGTGAGCTGAATGGTTGCTAAGGCAACCGGATAGGAGGATTGGTCTACTTAACTGTCCCCATAGTAACTAAGCTCCTGGAGAGCTAAGAGAAATTAGTTATCTTAACCCACTACTATTATCCCCATGGTAACCAGTCTCTAAAGGGCTGTGGTCAGCCTTAAGGAGCAATACTAAAAAAAATCTTTGCTCCCTAGAGAAAGGGTGGGCAGGAGGCAAGGAGGCAGGGGTGTGAATTTACCTCCCAGGCCTCCCAGAAGCTAAACACCTTGAGCTGGTGTGGGCTGTGTGTGCGTATGTGCGTGCATGCGTATGTTTAGGGGTTAATGTGCTAAGACAGTTGGGTATATGAGGTTTCTTCTTGCCCCCAGCTCATTCCTGCCCAACTCACTCATGGGTTGAAGTGGACGGTGCAGCTGGGAGGGGCTCCCCTTCCGGCTACACATTACCATTCTGGTGCAGGGTGCGCCGGCGCTGGCTGGACTGCATGCTCAGGACCAGGTACTGCCTCATAAACTCACTGAACCGCTTCTGATTGGCTAACTTGCGGGCCGACTTCCGGGCCCCGGTGAAGCCCCCAAACCTCTTCTGCAGCTGCTTCTGCTCCATCTCTCCAGCCTCATCCATGCCGGGCTCTGTTTCTTTCTGTGCTTGGAATAGGCTTCTGATGCGGGGCATTCGCTTCAGATGCATCTCGGAGGCTCTTGGCTGGTAAAGCGCAGCTGCCAAATGGTCTGGGTCAGCAGGGCTGAGCTGCCAGGAGCCCCTGGCCATGACCTTGGTGCATGGAGTCCAGAGAGGGCTGGTTAAGACCTTCCCTTCACATTCAAGGATGCATGCCTGCAAAGACAGAAGTGGGAAGAAGGGAGAACAAGAAGGGACGTCTATTAGTCCAAGGCAATGAGGAGATAAAGTTCCTCTATCATCTGTATCTGTACCAATGAGACATCTCTTTATTGAGTACTGTGTAGCAGTTTTACATGTAGCTATTTAGGCTCGAAAAATTTCAGAGTTGGAAAGAAACAGAAAATTATCTGGCCCAGCTTCATCATTTCACAAATGAAGAAACTTTGGGGCTCAGAGAGGTGAGGTTAACTTACCCCAGGTGACACAGAAGTTAATACAGAATATGTGCACTAAAACTGCACCCTGTTAGAGCCTTGGATGAGTTTTTGGAGCCAGGCACAGCTCATGATGGTCACCCATAAGGAATAATTTTATTTATTTATTTTTATCAGGTTTGGGGGAGATTGGATTGGTTTAAGAAACTGGGGATGTCAAAGCATGTAGTTAAACCTGCATGGTTATTTTTTTTTAATTTTTTATTTTAAAAAAGATTTTATTGGGGAATTGGGGGAGGGGAACAGTGCTGGGGAATTGGGGGAAGGGGAACAGACAAGTTGCTGTCGTTTTGTTCTTCAGTCTAGTTGTGGAGGACGTTGCTTCACTGGCCCAAGTTGGCACCATCATTGCGCTCTTCCCGGGCGAGGCAGATCAGTCGCCGGCTTCTGGACGGCCGCTCACTGCGGCTGCTGGCCGCTCACGCTGGCTGCTGGCTACACATGGTAGCCCATGGCAACCCACTGCCACAGGGGCTGCAGCCCACGCCGTCGCCGGCGACTCACGGCAGCCCAGCTCCAGGTTGAGCTGTTGTTCAGCATCTTAGCTGTGGAGGGCAGTGTCACTGGCCCTCATATGTGGGATCCGAACCGGGGCCTTCCGGCTGTCCAAGCCAGTTCTTAACCATCGTGCCACTCAGCCGGCCCAATATTATATAATTCTTATCTGATATACTTTCCCCATCCCAAGTGTGTCCTTTTGCTTGGTTTCTCTGTCTCTGTGTTTGCTCTCTGAATGGCACCTTATTCCCCGTGTGACTCAGGTTTAGGGAGAGTCTATATGCATTCCAGGCATCAAATACCCAGGATCAAAAGAGGAGTTCCTAGTGAGGATGAGAAATGGAGAGAATGAACAGGAGAAAGGAAGGGATCTGCAGCTGAAATCGCCCAGTGGCTACACCGGGAAATGACCCCAACTCTTCTTGTGAATCAGCAAAGCACTACCTAGGATGTTAGCACCAGGAGGGACCTTAGGTGACACCTGGTCCAATGAGTCCCACACCTGGGTGTGAATCCAAATCACCAGCAGAACTTTAAAAAAACATGGAATTTCAGAACCCAGTTAAATCCCTGAAGAATAGAACCGGGGCTTAGAACTTATTTTTACAAGGCTCAGTTAATTCTGAAATTTGCCCGGGTTTGGAAACCACTGTTGTAGTCCATGTTCACACGTTATAGAGATTCAGTAATGTGTCCAAAACGACACTGTTAGATAACAGCATAACTTGAACAAGAACTCAAATGTCTTGAGTTCCATCCCAGGATGCCTCCTACTCAACGATCTCTGTGTGCTTGTAATTGGAATTGATGGAAATTAATGGGAGAATAGGATCCTCTGAGACCAAAACGTAAGGTTCTGATAGGAAAATTGCTCATTTTCAAAACTGCTGGACCAGAGAGAGGAAAGAGACAGAATCCGTGGGAGTGCCGCTCTCCTTCCCTGGTAAGGTGTCCAAGGAATACCCTTTGCCGAGCCCACCTGCTAGTCAGAGGTGGTGATGTTGGCGCCTGCTGATACTCAAGCCATAATTTTTCTGAGCATGTCTTTTCCATTTAGATTTTCCTCAGAGAAGCTGGTAGAAGTAATACATGGTCAGTGCCAACTCAGCAGAGATACTTAGAGAAACCACTTTTTCACACCAGCAGTGTCACTGGGTATGAAAGGATGATAGACAAGTTCCATAGATGGGAAGGGCAGACTTTAGAACAATGTCAGCTGCAAACTTGAGTGTTCTTTAAGAATCATACTGAAGTTTGTTGGGATGCAAATTCTTAGCCTACATCCCTGGAGATTTTGATTCAGTAAGCCGAGGGTGGGGTCCAGGAATTTGCATTTTTTTTTTAGCTGAGCCATCCTGCCACCTGTTGGCAGCTCGGCGGCAGCTCAGCTCGGGCCGGACTCGAACCGGTGTTGCTCAGAGCTCAAACCTTTGAGTGAGCTCTTAACCAACTGAGCCACTCAGCCGGCCCAGAATTTGCATTTTTAACAAGCACCCCAGGTGATGCTGAGGTTAGATTATGAGAAACCCTGCTTTGGACCTTGCTCTGAGGAGAAAGAAGCCATCAGGGTACATGATGGTCAGAGATTCTGTCAGGGACATGGTCCCATGGGTCTGTACTTAACCTCCCGAAACACTTTGACGAAAACCGGGTAGAACCAATTCGTAACACGTTCTTTCAGATCATAATCCTCTTGGGTTATTACTTGATAGCAGTGGGTCTCAATTGAGGGTGATTTTGCCTCTCAGGGGACATTTGTCAATGTCTGGAGACATTTTTGGTGTCACATGGTGGATGAGTAGGGGGATGCTATTGCTATTTAGTGAGTAGAGGTCAGGAATGCTGCTAAACATTCTACAATGCACAGGACAGCCCCCACAACAAACAATTACCCAGCCTAAAATGTCCACAGTTGGGGTGGCTGGTTAGCTCAGGTGGTTAGAGCGCGGTGCCCATAACACCAAGGCTGCCGGTTCAATCCCCACATGGGCCACTGAGATGTGCCCTCCAGAACTAGATTGAAACAACTACTTGACTTGGAGCTGATGGGTCCTAAGAAAACTTCTACATTAAAAAAAAAAATGTCCACAATGGTGAGTCTGAGAAGCCGTACGCTACAGAGCCAAGGGGAAAACAGGAAAGCACAGATAGCACTGGGAAAGCCAGTAGGAGTGTAGAATTTTAGTGATGAAATGGACCTTTGAGTACACCTGGTCCAATCCTCACAGAATAGGAGCCCCTAATGCTTGTCAAATTGTTTCAGTCCTTCAATTTACAGGAACAGGTGGAAGTTGTTAAACCTAAGGCTATTAGATCTTCTGTGAGCCCCTGGGTTTCTAAGCCCAGATGGTAATTAGATTGTGTGTCAATCGGAGAAAATGAAATTCTGTGATCGAACCAGATGCATAGCCCATACCAAGACTTGACATACTGTTAGATGAATTAGGTACTAACAAAATCATCTCAACTCGTGATTTAGGAGAGGTTTTGGGAAAATATGAGGAATCCAAATTCACAGCAGCATTTGTAGCACCAGATGGGCATATGAACTTAATGACTAACCCTCTGGTCTGAGGCACCCACCAGGCTCTTTCCAGAGATGGGTTAATAGCCTATTAAGTGAGCTGGACGCATTTTCACAGCCCTCACTGATGACATGACTATATTAAGCCAGACCGTGGATAAGCGTCTGGAAAGTTTTGGATTGATGTCAAATTGATCTGTAAAGCTGTGATTGTGGGGAAACTGAAAAAAAGGCCATTTGGATGTCTGGGATCAAAGATTAGGTAACAGGCACATGAGCCCATTGGAAGGAAAAGAAGCTCATTGAGGCTGTCAAGTTTCTACTACTAAAGAATCAAACCACTTCTGACTAAGAGACATTTGGGAGCTATTTGCTTTAGGAGGTTCTGCTAGAATATGAGGGCCGACTTTAGTAGGCCAGCAGATGAAGAGTGCAAAAGAAAAACACATAAAAAACTTCCACTACAAATCAACTACTATGGGTTTTCATGCAATGAAGACAAAAAGCACTTATCAGAAGGCAGTTTCTTTTGCTATTAATAGAGTTTTAAATAAATTCCCCCAGGTCATTTTTTGTGGGGGCTACTTTCTTTATCTCTAAAACAACTCAGTGAATCTAGTTTTCTTCTATTTGAGCTGATGGGGTAAGTACCATTCACAATTAGGTGAAAGCCTAGGATATTGCAAGGGGTTTGGTGTGTGTCATTTACCGATCAAAATTATAGCCTAATAAAAAGCCAGCCATACTTGGACCATTGACCTGGAGGGAGAATAAAAGAATTCTTGATGAAGCCAGAGGTCCAAGAGGTCCTGGGAATTGCTCAGCATTATATAATTTGGTGGAGGAGTTGGGAAGGTGACACTTGCTGAAATATCTGAGTCCCCCTATCATTTACAGAGTGGACACACTTAAGGGTTACCAGGTTTGGAAATGAGATATGTGGTTGCGTACATTCTAGGCATTTCATACAATTTTTAAAAAATAGGTTTAACGTGAATACAAACTAGAAACCAAACAACTAGGCAGCCAGGTCCTCTAGGGGTTAGCAGGAACGAAAAAGGGTTTATCCCTCAGTGTGAGGCTAAAACTGGCCATTTCCTAACTTGTTTCAAAGAAGTTTCCAGACAACTAACAGTGTTGTCTGGATTCCAGAGATTAAGACATGGAAACATGCTCCAAATTCTTTACCAGTTTTAAAAGACAGCAGTATAAAACTCCTGCAGCGTCTGCAGTGGATGTACCTATTAGAGACTAAAAGTCTTATAATTTTACAACTTCCTTGGGACATGTTTGCTGAATACAGCTCTGTACCACACACTGGGCTAAGTATGAGGGGCCCTAGAACCACGAGCAAAGGAAAAACACACCTTGTGGTGAGAGAGAGGCTAGCAGAAACAAGTAACTGTCAGAGCACGAAGGAGGGAGAGGCTGGCTCTATTGGGGGCAGGTGGAGAAGCAGCAAAATGTTCTCAGAAGAGGTGAAACTTGATCAGGGTCTTGAAGTACAAGTAGGGAGGAGGAAGAGGCATGCACAAGTTGGCAGGGTAAGCTCCTGGAGCAGTGGGAAGGCCAGGATGGGAAGGCGGGATTTCTGGGACCTGTGGAAGGTGATTGGAGCCCAGCAGGGAGCATGTGCAGAGTGTACCTTTGGGAGTTACCTGCAGGCTGGGGAGAGCTGAAGGCCTGGAAACGGGGATGGCATCTCAGGGGGAGAGAGTACGTGGAGGTAAGAAGCAGGGAATCTTGGTGGTCACTATGTTTAGGGGTTGGGGAGAGGGACAGGAGCCCAATGGGAGGCAGAGAAACAAGAGTCAGGAGGGAAGAGTGCCAGGCAAGTCCACTAAGACAGGACAAGGAGAAGGGAGCCTGCAAACCCACCTGGGGATTCGGTGGTTAGGACCTCCAAGAGAGCAGCTAAGCAGTGGCAAGGGGGTGAAAGTCGAAATCTTTCTAGAAACATGACAATGAAGGGAAGGAAGGGGCAAGTGGGAGTGGGGAAAAATGAAGGAGAGGGTCCTGAAGGAAAGTCAGTCATACAATGGAAGGCAGAAGCGAAGGGGCAGGAGCGAAAGTGGGAGGCAGGTGGGGAGAATGAGGACAGACCCTGGAGAGAATTTGTACTCTCTGGCTGCCGTCGTCTCAGCACAGTGCAACCCAAGGTCATGGTGTACAAGGGGGTGGGAAGGCGCACTTGCACTCAGTGCTTCACAATCAGATGTGATGTTTGTTACAAAGAGGTTACTAAATCCGTGAATGATTTACTTTGAAAAAAATACATTAAAGCAGACTCAGGATTATCCTTACAATTAAGTTCCTAATGCTTTTTTTTTTTATTGTAAAATACACATAACATGAAACTTACCATTTTAGCCATTTTAAGTGTACTGTTCAGTGGTATTAACTATATACACATTGTTGTGCAACTACCACCACCACCAGCAGACATCTCTAGGACTTTTCTATCTTCCCAAACTGAAACTCCATGCCTATTAAATACCAGCTGCCCATTTTCCCCAACCCCTAGCCCCTGGCAACCACCATTCTACTTCTCTCTCTATGAATTTACTCCAGGTACCTCATATAAGTGGAATTATACAGTATTTATCCTTTTGTGTTCGGCTTATTTCATTTAGCATGATGTCTTCAAGGTTCACCCATTCATCTTGTTACATGTGTCCGAATTTCCTTCCTTTATATCCGATTGTGTGTATATACCACATTTTGTTTATCCATTCATTGTTGATGGATGCTTGGGTTGTTTCCACCTTTTGGAGCTTGTGAATAATGCTGCTTATGAATAATGGATGTGGGTGTACAATTATCTGAGTCCTAATGCTTTTTGAGTGGGAGGTAAAGGGTTGCAGTTAAAGCTAGAGCTTCAGGAATTGTGCATGACCTTCAGTCTGGTCTAGGCTACAACCTGAGAACCTTAACAGTGTGGCAATTATGAGGTGATTGCTTAATCGACTCCATCACTGATTTACATGTAAACTAGTTGTCTGCTCTGTTTACTAAGACCAAGGGAAAGTGTTTTTTGGATAAACTTTCACACCTCTCTGGGCTGCACAAAAAAGACATGAGGGCCTTCTGTGCGCGAGCCAAACTCAGCTTTTCTCAGTTCCTTAAATGCCACTCCCCTCCCTCCTATAGGCATTTGCACATGTGCTCTCCCTCACCCTTCTCCCCCACCTACCCCCATACCTCTCTCTACTACCTGGGGTACCTGGAACCCACTCCCTGCTTCTTAACTCCGATTCATCTTTAAATCTCCTTAGAGGATTCAGTTCCTCAAAAAGCCCTCTCTGCCCCTCTAGACTAGGTTGGGGTCCACTGCTCTGTGCTTCCCAAATGCCTGGTAATTATTCTCTCCTGGAAGGATTGTGGGTTCTCCTCTCCCACTAGTTGCAAGCTCCATCCATCTGCTCACCTTTGGATTCCTTGGCCTAGCCCAGTGCTCAGCGCATAATAGGTGCTCAGAAAAACCACAATAGATGAATGAGAGGGATGGATCAACTTTGAATGGGTTATCTGGAGATTGCTTTTCATGATGCGGTAGTTATTACTGTTCAGAAAACAGGCTTAAAAACCACGTTTTCAAGGGGCTGGAAAAGCTTAGCGTTTGGGTCTTTGGGAGTAGTGTCTGCTCATTGCCCAACTTAAACACTTGGTTTTTATATTTGTCCACTTGCCTTAAAGGTTGTTTTTAAAGGTTGAGGAGTTTGAAATATGTCATCTTTTGAAAGAAGCTTATTTGATTGCAAAGAAAAAAACTTAATTGAGTTACATTGGATTTAATAGGAGAGGAATTTAGACTGAGATAAGAACAGCTTGAAAGAGCAGCGTATGTAATGAAAAGAAATTTAATGTCGGATTTGCACCTCAAGTTCAAAATTTTAAAAATAAAAGAGCAGGTGCTCA